CAAAAGAGGCCCTAGGCTAGTACAGACAGGGAAACATACAACAGCCCAATGGACGTTGGGAGTAACTTTTGCTGGCATCAGCTTCCTTTCCAGGCCCTGTCTGTCTCTATCAGGTTTATGCACGAGGTGCCTGTCTGCAGCAATACAAGATGGCATGATTGGCTGAGCGTCTCTTGCAACAGGGATTGTCCAAGGTTCCCTGCTTCAGCACATGCTTGTGCAGTATGGGCGAGCACTCAGCGGGTACGTACCAGATTATTAAGCCAGCTTGGGAGCATCTTGGCACTCGCACTCTACACCAGACATTGACTTTCTTTCAGCCCCTCAGCCCCTCTCGATGTGCGGATACGCAGCGCGTGGCAGGTCTACTCTAATACAGTAGCACCTTGAGCTCGAGTAGCGTTTGGACGGAGAACAACGAACCGCTAACAGGACTAGCCAGCCAGCCCGACTTGATTCCCCGCCGCGCTTGGATCTGTAGAAACTTCTACTGCCCAGCAGCATGGCTGATGCGTACTAGCACCGCCGCAAGAGGCAAGATGGCTGCAGCAGCATGTGCACTTGTTGCATCTGCCGAACACCACTTGGTACATGGCGTCTGGTGCGTGCAGTAGTGCTCGTGCAAGTACCTGCCTGGGTGCATCATCCTGCGCGCGCACCAGCAGCGTGGTTTCAATGTTTTCCTGGCGGTGTCGAGCGAGCTGTCACTCTCCTAACCGAGAGGGCCCCCAAAATGTCCCCCCCGCACGCAAGAATGAGAGTCTGATGCCGCTAGCACTAGCAATCAGCGCTCTAGCACCAGCCGGGACTAGCAGCGTCTGCAACTAAAGCGCTACTCATGGAGATGCTGTTCTTGACGCACAGGGCTAGCCCTGCCCCTACCGCGCGCGCCATCGACAACGAACAAAGGTTCTACGCTGTCGTACGCGTACAGGTTGAGACCTCTGGAGTTGCGGGTAAAGACGTCTGTGTATGTTTCAAAGAATTACCAAGTCAGTTAGCTACCTTCTAAAGATAGCAGTGCCAAAGTTGCAAGCAATACGAGCACCGATACTGGGATAGTACCTGCTGGATACCCAGCGATGCTACCGCCTGGCAGTGCCTGCTGCATGTACCTGGCCCGTAACCCTCAATGATCTTCGGCAGCGGCCGGCTCGGTCTGGATGACGGGGGTGCCAAGAGTGAGGGACGGAAAGTTCCGTCTCCCAGCTTTGACCATCTGTGCCAGCGCTGATGGTACGTGACACTGATACGCAGAATGCAACAGACTCTGGGAGCTGAACAGGCGACGGAGAAGCGATGGACAAACACTATTAGCTTGCTCCTGGGGCCTGTATGGCCAAGCCATGTTGTGGCAAATCTCTCTAACTAGGACTAGTACTGCTAGTGCAGCGTGTTTTGCGAGCAAACCATTTGCAACCTATGACCTCGGATAATCGACAGCCTCGTCTGTTGGTTGATACTTTCAACCTACGCCACAGTTCGGAAGGTTTTATGAAGCGGACTTTGAATCTGGTAACTTGTTGCGGAAATACGGTATCACTCGTCGAAAGTGATCATTAGCACTTCCCCATAGGCTATATTATCTCCGCGGACATTTCGATTTCGCTTCTTCCTGCAATCCCTTAACTCCGTGTCTACATCAGGAGCAATAGCGAGCAAAGAGAGGAAGTAGAGGTAAGAGCAAGCGACTGTAACAATGCCAGAGTGCTCAAAATGGCACCGATCAGTATGCATGGATCTGCTATCAACAGCTCAAGTGCTACTTTCAGAAGCAGCATTGACCAACAACGCAGGAAGCAGTTCCAATTGGCCTGTTGGGAGTGAAAGATGATTTCATGGGATTTCCACCCATCAAGGGACGCTGCCAATAGAGAGGCTTGAGCAATCATTCTCTGCATTTGTCGCCCAATTAGGAACTTAGCATGTAACGAGTTGCGGGACTTGGGTCCCATTAATATGGGTACAGAGAGATACGTGCGTACGATATTCGGTCCTTTGATCCCGTATAATGAGACAGAGGTCTTTAGTTGTAAATCACCAACATTCTCTATTGTTGCCGGAGATACTTGCCGGTCAGGAGCGACTTGTGCAATAATACTATGCTATTACACTACTGGATTAAGAGAAAAGGAATGAAGAGAAGAGAAAACAAGATGAGTTTTCAGCCGTTCCAGCCTAATGAACATTCCACCGTCACTCAGCTTGGGAGCACCGTAGAGCTACAAAACATGAACAAACGAATGGATGAGTGGATGAATGGATGGATAAAAATAAATTCTCCACGGTATACGGGAATATCTGAGATGAATTACGGAGTAAAAGTTCCACCTTTCTTCCTTCCCCGTCCCTTGCAAACCGGTTTGCCTGTAGAGTTGACGATCCTGCGCGACGACTAGCGCAGCGTCTTTTACAGAGCTGCAGATCAACCTTTCGACTGCCATCTACAGCACAGATACAGACCATTGTCCATATCCGGACATTGCAAAAAGGCTCCGGCACTTGGGCGCAATGGGGGTGGTGGTGGTGGGCAGTTGCTGGCGAGTCGCTTCTGCGCGGCATTGGGTTATCCAACCCTAAGAACTGCAATGCAACGGCTTATACTCCGTACATCGCGATCCTACATACGTATCCTTTTTTGATGCAATTCTATTCAATACCTCCTGCTACCAATTCCGTTAAAGAGGTGAGGAGGCGTGCTCATACATGCTTGGTACTACATATGTACTCGAGTCGTGCTACTGCTGTTGGTGCACCCTTCAATATTGCTCAAGAGCCAATCATCCACATATCACACTCCACGTCCCACTATTGAGATATGGCATACAGAACTGCCGTGCCTGCTATTACTGTACTGATAGGCATGTAGGTACGTAGTAGCAATAGCGCTCTTCTCGATACAAGCAAATAATTCTTCCGTCTGCTAAACTAGCATCCTAGGCACTGTAATTTACTTGCAATTTATTCCGGGGTTCAAGGCCACCCTTCTAGCGTGCACAGAGCTTCTAGAATGCTTTCGCTAGAGGGGGTGCCGAGGCTCAGTGAACGAACAGGGTACATGTCTGTAATAGAACGAGTCAAGACCCCTCTCAGGCAAAATGGAATGTCAGCACCCAGTCGCAACTACTGCGGCGCTGGCTGCCTGTATGTACAACATATTGCAATGCTACCTGTTGTTATAAGGCTTCGCGGTGTTCTGACTCGCCTAAGTAATTCGGCGAATGCAACTCTGTTTGCAAGATATTCTCTCTCGTTCCTTTTCAGCTTCGGATGGCCAATCATGCTAGATGAGATGATCATTCCATGCAAAGTCCGCCTTTTCGGCCGTATTTTTTAGCATCAAACTTAGCTGCCAGCCGATCGCGTCATCGCGGGCACAAAGTTCTGCTTGCCAATCTGAGTGCTGTCGCACCGCCACGACGAAAAGGTTCAAAGAGCGCAGCACTAAGCCGCCACAGCATTGCGGGCTCATCTCGCTTTTCACCCAGCTTTGCTTATACTATGCTGCTGTAATACTTGGCGTATGAATATGGTGTTAAATACATTCCAGTATACATCTGTGCATGTGAGCATTGGAGGGTCGTATTGCCGCGTAGGAGCAATTCATCCCAAACCTCCCAGCCCTACTGATACTGTAGAGGGGGGCGAAAAGGGGGGGTGGAAGTTCAAGGGTGTGTAGCAATTTGCACGGTGCAGGCTGGCAGGCATTGGGCAAGGCAGCGGAGAGAAAACAAGGCCAGAGATCTAAGGCTCGGTGACCAAAGAGAGGCGAATAGTACTGTAGTAGTACTGAAGTGCTACGTTCTTTGCTATCACAGTCACAGACGAGGGTAGTGCGTGGCTCAAACTCGGATCGTTTTATCGCCTGAGGGCTCCGTGCCATGCCATGCCGCAGTAGCAACAGAAGAGCCGCTTTACGATTGCGGAATACGACGTCGATGCTACCGTTTCCTCTCTCGCGGCCTCGTCCTCACTTCCATCCAGAAGAGGAGCCCAGCTCTTTACTCGCGACAAAGATCCCCTGCAGTAGATCCAGCGTCAAGCGCGCTTGTGCGTGCTTTTTATATACAATGGAGTGCTAATGCATGATGCGGTGTTCTGCACATGGCGCTACTGCTACATGTACTGTACAGTCTGTCGTGCTAGGTACTGTAAGGCAGCCCTTTAGGGCACTGCAACGCAAAAAGGCAGCACACACGATTGCCTCTTGCAGCTACGTTTTGAGAAAACTAGCGTCCAGGAGGAGCGCGATGGAGCGCTTCCCCCTTGACGGCTGAGAAGGATCAAGTCGCACAAAGCGCAAACAATGCGGTCCAACTCTCGCAGGTACGAAGTGCCAGCTCGTTGATCGCTTAGCAGGTGATGGCGCTAGCTTACAGGGATCCCGCCGTTTGTGCTGCGTTCTGGACAAGAGCAAAAGGCCACGGCGAGTTCAGCCCACAACCAGGTGCCACAGCCATCCCTGCCAACTGACTCTCCAAGTCGCATCTTACTGGCGCAACTCGACTAAACATGAATTGATTCTTGCGCCCAGAGTTGCAAAGCCCTCAACCCCAGTCGCCGCAGCTCCTTGGTGTTTCGATGGAGTCTCTTCGTTTGCTTCAAACGGGGTGCAAGTGTACTCCGTAGGCTGGGCATATTAATTTTATGTTATATCTCCGTATATTTATTCCTTTATCTTAAATCATCTTAAATCATGTTCAACCTATTTTTTCAGGATACTCCACTCAAGCACAGTACTAATTCTTGTCATCTACCTAGTAAATGATCAATCACAAATAAATGCCATGTAGTGTAGTATCACCGAAGATACCTATCAATGCTTTGATAGCTGGGAGTACTACTATCAAGCGGTAGACGTAGCACGATTGACGCCTTCCACGCTACGTACCGCTAGCACCGATTCTTGGTGCAGCTCTCAGGTACTGCAGTTTGGCACGCAACTTGTTTCTGACCGCCCGCAAAATCATAAATCCTATTACTAATGGTCTCCAACGAAACTCTGACGAGCTCTCGACAATCAACTTTGCCTCCACGAACACCCCCCTCACTCTCGCCAAACGGCCCCGTCTGTCACCGTCTCCCTAGAGCAGCCGGTCGATCGCCCCCGCGTCAGACCCCGAGATATTTTCTCAGCAGGCTTTTTGGTGACTTATAGTGACAAACACAACTGTAAACGCAAGACTCTATACGCCATCCTCTGGCTCTCGCAAATAGGCGCTATCAAGATTCATCCATCAAACTCCAGAAGACAAGATGGCTGCTGCGGCTCTAGACAATGCCAATCCCGTCATTCTGAGCGCCTCGCAGCTCCCAACCCGGCACAAGCGGTCCGCTCCGCGCAAGGGCCCTGACTGCAGATACTCGGACCTGATCCTCTCCAGGCCGTCGTATATGTCTCGGCCCTTTTTACAAGACGACGATGCGCAGTATCAGGATGATACAGCGGCGGCTGTGGCTTGGTCCCGCTTCGGTTCCGGCGCAGGAGGTGCAGATGACAATCTATCGGCCGAGGCCATCGACGAGCAAGAGATCTACGGTATGATTGCGACCTCTAAACATGTTACAAGCCTAGCTCTCCGCCATATCCTTCCTTCTTCCTTCTTCCTTCCTTCTCCTTCCCCTTACCCTTCCTAGCTGCTTTCTCCTCATCTGTGCCATCCAGCACTTTGCTGTTCGGCGTTTCAAAGTGACCCCCGATGTGGCCTCCCCTGGCATGCCAGACCCGTTTTGTACATGTCATGCCACTGTCAACGTCTGGGGGATTTGCACTACTGCAGTTGCTTATTTCGTTGCTCTGAGACGATGACGGCCAAAAAAAAAACTCACTGGGCAAATTTGGCAGTCGTTTTTCGACTGCTATGTTTTCCGAGGGGGAAAAAAATTGCCGTGTTCTGGAAACGTCACGTACAGCCCTTTTCACATCGGATCTCCTTTGGCATCATATACCGCTGGTAACAATTTGACAGCAGTACTAACATTCGCTTATAGATCTTATTTCTAACATAACGGACCCTGAACACCCTGTTTCCTTGGGCCAACTGTCTGTCATCAATCTTCCCGATATTCACATCACTCCCTCTCCGGCTCTCGGCGTACCAAGTCCAAACACAATCGTGCAGGTTACTGTTGAGCTAACGCCTACTGTCACCCACTGCTCCCTCGCTACTGTGCTTGGACTTGGCGTTAGAGTCCGACTGGAGCAGGTGCTGCCCCCGAATTACCGCGTTGAGGTCATCTGCAAGGAAAACAGCCATAGCCAGGATGACCAGGTGAACAAGCAGCTTAGCGACAAAGAGCGTGTTGCGGCGGCTCTGGAGAATGACTCGCTAAAGAGTGTCTTGGACAAGATGCTGGAGTCTTGCATAGATAATTAAACTCGCCCAATTTCGAAAACCCCACAAGCCGAGATTCCTTTACGCTGCGCATTGGCTGAAAGCGTGGATGTTCGTGCTCGTTCTCTGCACCTCAGCTTATCCCCTGCGCTCTTGGCTCGTGACACTACGTCAACAGCCAACACATGGCTTCTAGATGGTATTACCAGGGTATAGGAGCTAAATCTTCACGGAGCCAAAACGTCAGCATCATCCAAGAGGGCAAGCGGGAAGCTTTGACCACGATGAGAGACCCTCCATGCAGCGCGGCTGCGAGGTGTGGTTGAAAATCGCTGCCTAGAAGTAGCAACTCGATACCGTTACAGCTACTGCTACTCTATGGCGCCCGATGTAGTAAGACATCACGCTCGCCAACATTAGCCGTTGCCAGGATGGGAGGTTGACGAATAAACTTGATGCGAATAAACATAAATGGGAGTGAAAAAGCCCCCCCCCCCCCCAAACCAAAAAAAAAAAAAAAAAAAAGCCTTTCCACTTGGAGATGCGATTCTCAATGACTCCATACAATGAATCATGATCGGCTTCTTCTTCGTTATTAGCGAGGGCTGATGTAGGCTGGCCAACTTTTCGAACGTTACGTCCCCTAGTCATGGTTCACAAATTACGCTTCCTTGTTATTGACTTTTTAGGCAGTACTAATACCACATCAGCTGTTGTGTTGGAAATATCCAGAATATCAATTCTTCTCTTACCATGTATGAGTAGTACGTGGGATGGTAATATTGGGGCCTGGCGCAACTTGGCCTCTTTTAGTAAATGTGGATATTAGTTCCCTCGTTTCTGTCTATGGAATAGGCAGTGCTTGGACATCCTCCGCACAAATTCGGAGCCGAAGAATTCTCCGCCAGCGGCACAGACGAGCAAGTTTTGTATATCCCGTGGACGGCAGTTCAAGCAGCCCAAACGATAGCCCATTGTAACCTTGGAAATGACAATGAGCGATGGCGAAGGCGCGCAAGGATCTGGCTAAGATCTGAGGAGGAAGTCGCCGAAAGCATCGGATTAGCCTGGTCATCTAGAACCTGGGGCTTCCATTGGCTTGCAGCTGCTTATGACGGTACTTCCGGAGAAATGCAGCTGCTGGGCATGCGCAAACGAGCGCTTCCCTGAGAACCAGGATCGTGGGATATTTACCGCAACAATCGCCGACTGAGCAGCCAATCAAGCCGACAACGCGCGTGCTTGGGGTTAGGTACCTACCTATATGAATACACAAGTATACTGTATTGTCTCACAGTTGATCTCTCTTACATCTACGCAACAGTGAGACGTCGTCGTAAACTAAACCAGTCAAGTATGCTGCCTCCTAGGCGACCCAGAGCTCAGGCTTAAACCCGACGGGAAGTTCAGGTTGACTCGTCATTTCGAGTCAATTCATGCCATGTCTCCAGCCAGACAAGAGAAACCGCTTGTTCCTTTTGATGGCGCCAACATGTTAATACGTAAGAGCCACTTTTGGCCTCATGAAAATCCTACACAAGAGGGGCCTAATGTATGTAGGCAGTGCTGGAAGTGTAACTGGTGGTTGTTGGCTTTTGTCCTAAGCCTAACCCTGCCACATATTCCTATTCTTGTTGCAGCGTTTTTCCTCTCTCAAATCATGCTGCCGGGATTTGCTTCCCTCCCACCACCAACCACCACGCCCCCCTTGGTAAGGATTTTAGCGCTGCTGCAGTCTATTCCCTATTTTGCGTTCCCTGTTCCTTCTTTTGGGGTAGTTGCGTTTGGCTTTTTCTTTTCCTTGCGTCAAGGCATGCAAGTTTATTACGTCGTAGACTGCTGACTCGTAGATTAATCAGCCGATCTTTTTTATTTTTATTTTTATTTTTTTCTCCCTTTCTTCTCTTTCATGCGTGGGTTGCGCTTCTGCACATACGTACAGTACCAAGTATTAAGTGCTGCTACAGTACAAGTAGTAGATGCCCATTTTTCGGGTTGTCCATTATTTTTCGTCATCTGTCAAGGGATGTGGAGGGGGAAGAAGGAATACTACTGTACATGTGGAGTAGTAGTACTTGTAGAGGAATCAAAGCTGGAAAGCAGTTGCGTACAGGTACGAAGCACTCCTACATACCAGGTTGTAGCTTGCATACAAGCTTTCTTCTGTGACAGATGACTGCTCTCTTCTCTCAGCTTATCAAGAGCTGATCGTCGGCACTTCTCCTATATGCTCCGTAATTTTCAGTCTTCTTTTAGCCGAATTCAACATGGGGAGTCTTGCTAGTCTACGGCGTGTATCGACGCAAAGGCTAGCATGGCCATTCTTCCACCAATCAATGAGCGGGTCAAATTCACAGCCTAACAGACGGGGCATTGTTGTTGACGTCTCTATTTTTTTCTCCTTTGATTTCTTCATTAATAAATTGATATCTAGATTTTGCGCTTTGCCGACATATATACTACTTCAGAAGCGATTACCGCTCGATTCCTGTTCTCTTGTTTCTTCCTTTTATTGTGTCTCAGCCGCTTTGACGGCCCCTAGCTCAGCTCTGATCTCCGTCCTCAAAATATACAACGACATAGTAGCATAAACAGCGTACATATATCAAAACACATGTGTGACAGTATTAGTATGCAGCATCCGAGAGGTGGTCAAGTAAGGCTGACGTAGAGGTCTATTCTCAAAACTTATACGTCGCCGAGCATTCCACTCTCCATCAGGCTCTGGTAGAATTCCGGTTCCAAGAATGTCTTGACACTGACATCTTCGCTTAGACCTTTTCGCCGTCTGGTCTTCAGCACAAAGTCTCTGGCTGTAGCCTGCGCGGCGGCGGGTTGGAGCGGCCTCGTAACCTGGTCCCTATCAAGCGGATCACCGGGTATGATGCTCCAGCTATCGAACACCAAGCTGACCATAGAACCACCCTGTGTTTTGATTCGCAAATCTGTTTCGAAGCCAAAACTGTCAATGACAGGAATGAGGCCATTTACACGATAGAGAGGTGTGCCAGCAACGGGGCCATCAGATAGGACGTGGCCTCGGCGCCGTGCAAGCACGTTATAAACTTCCATGTAAGAGTCTTCTGGGCCAGTAACAGAGACGGTGTAAACAGGCTCCATGAGGCGCGGAGAGGCCATCAGGAAGGATGAGTAGCACGCTCTTCGGGAAGTGGGGATGATCTGACCACCACCGCGGAAGATGGCCTCGTTGGCTAATACCACATCCGTAACTTTGAACTTGGTATTGCGGATGGCTATAGAAAGGGTGTCAGCAAATGTTGACCGATTTCTCAACTTGGAGCTGATGCTGAAAAAGGAGAGTTAAACATACGTTCTTCACAGAGGGGACCTTCACGAGTAGCCCAGCTGAAGCCTTGCCTTATGGATTCTTTGACTGTAGACAAAAGTTTCTTGTCGACCTGGAGTGAGGAAAACAATTATTAGCAAAATGTTCGCAAAGAGGCGTTTATGCGTCGTGGGCATCGCCATATCGACTTACTTCGGTAGGCAAAGTATCGTCCTGAAGAATGTTTGGCCCCATCTCATCAGGGCCAAAAGCCCAGATACTTCTTGCCGCCAACTTATCCCAGCCGTGGTTTTCTTCGAAAAATTTGGCCGTCTTCCGTATCGGATCACGTATTCTCACTGCACCGGTCTCGATATCAGTAGAGATACCCTTCTCCAGCTGCTCTGCTACCATGGTAATTTTGTTCTTCTTGTTCGGAGTGATGGCGTAACACTTCGTCGCTGAAGTTTCTACCACCGTTTCACAGAATCTTGTTACCGGATCTGATACCTTGATATCCATATCGGCATACAGCTTCCGCAAATCGTGCAGTACGCAGTCCATATAGAGCTCTCCGGTTCCCAAGACGACGTGTTCACCAGATTCTTCAACTTTAGTGTTGATTAGGGGATATGACTTTTGGATTTTGCGTAGTCCGTCAAGCATCTTCGGAAGCTCGGAGGGGTTAATAGGCTCGACAGCCACTTTCAGCACGGATTCCGTAAAATGGGCGATGGGCTTGAAGATGAAGGCATCCTCGTCATCTTCCAGCTTGGGGGGTACGACTGTCGCAGTTTTAACGATGGAGTTGTCGATGCCTCCTAACAGCACCAAGTTACCCGCCGGGACACCGTCCGTAGGGATGTTGTATCTTGTCTCTGCGATGAATACTTCGCCGATGGAGGCTGTCGTCATGTCTTCCTCGTCATCAAGGGAATAGCCTTCACCAAGGACTCTCACAGTGGCGCCTGGCCGGGCAGTACCGCTGAGAACACGACCGAAAGAGTAGAAGCTCTTTGCATCAGAGGTATTGAAGAGCTTTGAGACATGAATCACCAGGGGCCCATCCTGGTTGCATGCCTGCATCGAAGTCGCTACCTTTGTATCCAAAGGTCCAGTGTAGTAGCGCTCCAGTAGCCGCTGTGCTCCTTCAGCTGGAGAAGGAATGTGCTTCACAACCATATCGACAAAGCCCGTTGAGGGACCAAAGAATTGCTCGCATACCAACTTCAAGATGACATTCGCATCAGCTTTGTACTGTGACGGCTTCAGTTCAATGCCAAGCGAAGATAGGACCAATTTCAACTGTTCCGGGCTATCACTAATAGCATGTGTAAAGATTTTGTAGATAGGTTCGAGAATGAAATGAACAAATGATCTTGCTGATCTGTCTTCCGCCGGCTTGCGAGTAAAATTCCGCTTCTTCGGGTTATAATAGACGTCTCCCCACAATCGCCTGGCAAACTCGTCCGTGTTGATGTCACCAAAGGTGTCCGTGTACATCTTGGCAAAAGAAGGCAGCGTGAAACACCATCCCATATCCGTGCAGGCGAATAGAACGTTGCCTTTCTCGGGGCTTAGTCGCTTTGAAGCCGCCTTGGTCGGGACGGTGTTGGCAATGACTGTGTTGACCTCCTCGACAACATGCTTAAGCTTGAAGTAGGCATCCTTAGGTGGGAGCTTCAACTCCAAGATCAGACGATCCATCTTGTTGATGATGAGTGTCAAGGGAATATCCTCTAGCACAGCATGCTTGATGATTTGCTCTGTATTTATTTGGACACCCTCAACCACATCGACAACCAGACACACACCATCCACCAGCCTAAATGCTGCTGCCACTTCATCTACGAAGTTGACATGGCCAGGGGTATCAACGATGTGAAAAAGATGTGATTTTCCCTTGGTGCTCTGCAGAACAAGGCTCATTGGCGCAGCCTTGATAGAGATTCCTCGCTCCCTCTCCAACATGTGTACATCGGTGTATCGCAGCGCCTCGTCACGCTTCTTGCCGACTCTCCGATCAAGCCTGTCGGTAATGTCATGCGTCTCTAGGACAAGCATGTCCATGAAGGCCGTTTTTCCGTGATGTAGGTGGCCAGCAAGCGCAATGTTCCTTGTTTGCTCGGGAAAGTTCATCAGATCGGCCATGAACTCGCGGTCGAAAAACACGGGCGGTAAGTCGACCTCTTCGATGTTGAACTTCTTCTGCTCGACCGGCGCAATGATAGGCTGTGTTAAAGGCTGTGCATCCACCTCTTCCACGCGCGTCTCGACTTCCGCACCATACACCTGCTCGGCAGTGGGGTAGTATTGCTTGTCTTCATGAAGGATGACGGCATTCGAAGGTCCATCTGCCCGAGTTTCAGTCAATGTTCTGCTCTCTTCTGTCGCTGTCTTTTGAATATAAAGCCAAGCTTACCATCAAGCTCCATAAGCTCTTGCCCAGTCACACTAGGTGCCTCCTCTTGCTCATCATCATATGCATAATCAGCCGCCTCATCTCCAGCCTCGGACACTTCTTCGGATTCAACCTCTTCGCCGATGAAGTTTCCGAACCTAGGATGAGCTTGTTAGGAGCGAATTCATGTTAAAGCGCATCTTTGACGGGGATCGAAGCTCACTCATCATAGAGGTCATCCATTTTGTCACCGATATAGTCCAAAATACAAGGTCAATGGCGGACGACAAACTCGAAATGCTGAAGACACGGGTATCGTCGCAAGTCGCGTGTACTTGCGATACCGACCGCCTGCCTTGCACTAAAACGGGTCCCCAGCAACTTTTTTGCAGTCAGAGCTAGAAGAGCTTATCACGTGGTGATATGCAAGGCTGAGGGAATCTTATCTTATCGCGATCGTGGGCGGAGCCGCTTAAGCATGTCTCGGGTTAAAATACTCCCACTTCCAGAGCCACCAAGACCTTTGTCCGATATCGTGAGCATCTTGGTTCCTGGACGGGACTAAGGCTAACCACTGTGGGGTCTTGCTTTTCGCAGGCAACTTGTACTGGGTACTAGCAGTAGGAACCTCGCATTGGGTGCTTGATGTGCCTCCAGTTGGCTTGTCTGAATCATTCAATGAGGGTAATCTTACATCTACGCATTTACTAATGGCATTTTATGGTTACAATCTCAGCATTGTCCCTGTGATAAACGACGTTGTGATATCGGAAGGATCTGGGAAGCTGACACTTGTGTATGCACATACATGCGTGCGGCTTTACGGATACGGATACGGGAGGCCCTGGTTCGTATTTAGCGCGATGCGCAATACGCCAATCTCATATGTGCACATCGATGAGATGGATGCTAATTCCTGGCACCTTTACAGTCTGATAATGCCAACTTGATACAGGAGGCAGGGTTTATCAGCATCTTCCCTTATCCCGCAGCCAGACGAGCTGGGGTATGCCACTTGGTACAGAGTACTCTATACTTACTTGTGTGCTCTAATGTGTGTGTTCCAGCTTTGCCCACAGCCAAACACTCCATAGAAGCTGTCCAATATGGCATACTGACTTACTGCCCAACGCGGCAATTGCGGTGTGGAGCGGCGGGCTACGAAATACAGGCAGGGTCCTCCTACAAGCAGTGCTGAGCTCTTGATTCCAGCGCTCGGTCAGTGGCCAGCCATCAAAGTACCCGGTACCATGGCGGGGTCCAAGAGCCGATGGGCCACCCAAAAAATGTGCCCCTCTCCGCCGTCACTCGGCATCAGGAACCCAGAATCAGGGCCCTGATGGCATCCATTGGTACCTGGCTCACGGCTCTTGGGTGTGCAAGATCCAGCCCCAGGCCGCATTCGCAATCAAGCGTCCCGGCTTCAACCCTGCGACATTTCCATACCCTCGTCCACACCCGTTTCCTGGTCAGATTCAATCAATTGCAGCCTGCATCTCGTCCAAAACCCCAAATTGCGCCACCTGCCCTGCGACTAATCTGTTGGGCAGCACTAGTATATATACCCCTTGGACCTCTCCATCTTTCTTACGCTCTTACCTCTCCATACTTAGCCCACCCCTTTTCTTGATTCTCTTCTCTCCATCCTCCCAATCTTGCAAACAACACCGTCAAGATGTCTGGTCTTCCTCCCGTTTACATCGTCTCTGCCGCCAGAACCCCCGTTGGTTCTTTCTTGGGGTAAGAAACTGCTGCAGCTCTCTGGCCGCGTACGACCTCATGCTAAAATCCCAATCCAGCTCTCTGTCCGGCCTGACTGCCACCCAGCTTGGTTCTGCTGCTATCAAGGGTTTGTCTACTCTCACCCTGGCTTCTGCTTGTGTCTAGATCTAACAGCCTCGTAGGAGCCGTTGAGCGCTCTGGCGTCAAGCCCGAAGATGTCGAAGAGGTCTTCTTTGGCAATGTCCTCTCCGCCAAGTAAGCCGAACCCCAATCCTTCACGAACCGCGACTTTCGATCAAACATGAATGCTTATACATATTCTTCTTCTAGCTTGGGTCAGGCTCCCGCTCGTCAGGCCGCCATCGGCGCTGGCCTCTCCAACAGCGTCATTACCACCACCGTCAACAAAGTCTGCGCTTCATCCCTGAAGGCTGTCATTCTCGGTGCCCAAAACATCATGCTTGGCATCAACGACATTGTGGTTGCTGCCGGCTCTGAGTCCATGTCCAACACTCCCCACTATCTGCCCAACATGCGCACTGGCGCCAAGTACGGTGACCAGACTCTCGTCGAGGGTGTCCTGAGGGACGGTCTGATTGACTCTTTCAAGAAGGAGCACATGGGTCTTCAGGCCGAGCTCTGCGCCGACGAGCACAAGCTCACCCGCGAGGCCCAGGACGAATATGCCATCAACACCTACAAGAAGGCCCAGGCTGCCACCGAGGCCGGCCTCTTCAAGGAGATTGTTCCTGTCGAGGTTCCTGGCGGCCGTGGCAAGCCCAATGTCACCATTGACCGAGACGATGAGGTCAAGAACCTCAACGAGGCCAAGCTCAAGGCTATGCGCCCAGCTTTCAAGACTGACGGCACTGTCACTGCCCCCAACGCCGCCCCCTTGAACGATGGTGCTGCCGCCGTCGTTTTGGTCTCCGAGCGTAAGCTCAAGGAGCTCGGCCTCAAGCCCATTGCCAAGATTCTCGGCTGGGGTGATGCCGAACGCGAGTCTGAGCGATTCACCATTGCTCCCGCTGCTGCCATCCCCAAGGCCATCAAGCACGCTGGTCTGACCGCCGATGATGTTGACTACTACGAGATCAACGAGGCTTTCTCCGTCGTTGCCCTCGCCAACATTCAGCTCCTCAACCTCAACCCTGAGAAGGTTAACGTCTTTGGCGGTTCAGTTGCCATTGGTCACCCTCTGGGTGCCTCTGGTGCCCGTATCCTCTCCACCTTGACCTCAGTTCTTGCGGAGAAGAAGGGCAAGATTGGTGTTGCCGGTATCTGCAACGGTGGTGGTGGTGCCTCTGCCCTGGTTATCGAGAACTTGCAGTGACTACCCACGGCTGAACCAGCCTCTCATCTGGAGGCATCAAAATTATAAGAGAAAAAAAAATAAGCATTATGAATATATGAGCTGAATAATTAAAGCGAGGTAGAGTAAAGCTTGGATGAAGCATATACATTTAGGGACCAGCAACATATACCGCCATACATAAAAGCAGGCTGAGCCATAGTTGGATAATGGGCAAGGGATATTAAAATATAATAAATCTTCTTTCAATTTTAAACATGAGCAGTTCTTGAAGTATTCACATAAGCAGCCCCCTCTTGAATACCAAAGTACCTCCATTTCTCAGATGCACTGGCTTTAATCTATTGAAGCTTTACGAACCTAAGAAGACTGGTCCCGCATCATCACTAGAGGTAATAAAACCGTCTTCATCTTGGTCTTAATCTTCGTCAATTCAAGCTATAGTACTGCATAGAGCTACCAAAAGGGTAAAAAGAAATCCCCAATATCCGTACTTGAAGAACAAATCAAAAACGCAACGTAAAGTACAGAACTAGCACTCCAATATAGAAGAGAGAGAGAGGAAAGCATAAATAAAGCACGCTGCAAGATATACTGCCAGCACGCTGCCTACCCTCCCTTTGCCACCTACTCCGCATCGATATCAATTCCATTAGACTTCGTGCCAGTTAATTTTTTTGTTCGAATAATGTTTTTTTTGCCCGCATCGTATGCTGTACTTTTTGTCCCCAAAGTTGAGAAGTGTCCTTTTTTTTTTTGGTTTCGTTTATAGAAGCTGCAACCAACTTGGGGGGAAATATGTATAAATCAAAGCGTAGCCCAATTCCGCTCGAAGCATGCCAATATGATTCTCCTCTCTGTTTGAAAAGAGAATGGGAGAAGAAAAAAAAACGTCAAAATCAGACGAGTGGATATCATTCTTGGTTTTCCTAATCCATGTCCACTTCCTCATTAGAACTGGCCAGAAAGATTTCCTAATCCATCTCCACGTCCTCATTAGAACCAGCTGGAGCAATTCCCTCATCCATCCACCTGCGGAAATTTCCATTGAGCTCTTGAACTTCCTCAGGGCTCATATCTTTGGCCCAGACTGGATTGTGCACCATCTTCTCGAGGAGCTTCAGTTCACGGAAGTTGCTCATCGCCTTGGTGAGCTTTTCGCGATGCTCGCGTTGCTCTTTGGACTTTGGAGCCTGGTCGTAAACGAAGTACTCAGAAGTGCCGGGAGCCCAAATCATTTTGGAGCTCTTAAGACAGATACTGACTGTAAGGCTCTCTTTGTATGATACCGGCTTAGGAATGGCATCCTCGTCGTTTTCAGACTCCCCAGATGGCAGGTTGCGAGTGAGAACCACCTTCTTCATTTTCGATCGAGCAACACCCTCGGTAGGTTCTACACGAATGAAGGAGGAGATATAATACTGCCACCTCTCACGGAGTTGCATTTCATCCATGTAGAAAGTAGTCTCATCTCGCTGGAGCCATCGGACAGTAGCTTCGGATTTCTGAGGGAACTAGATTCAAGAATTAACCGCTGTAGGGGGGCTAGGTAAACAGGGGGGTAAAAAAAATCCGTCAACTTACCCAGCAGACGACAAACAGATCACCATCCTTAACACACTTCTCTGCAAATTTTCTGGCGCTGATTTCAGTCTGATAGCTCGTCTCTTCTTTTTCTCGGCTAAGCAGATACTGCTGAATAAGATCTGGCGTCTTCTCTTTAGCATCCAGGCTCTTGCAGGTCAGAGCCAGGCGGCAAAGAGTCTTGAGCAGGTCTTGAATAGTGTACAGCTTCCAGCCGTTTTTTAGATAATAGTGTCGCATGACATCCTGGTATCGATTTTCATCAATTTCTCCAGTAATATAATCCTCGATAAGCTCCAGAGTCTTGGGCCAAAATTTTGAGGGCTCGTCGTTGGGGTCAAAGAATGTCATGTGGTTCTCTGTAAAGCCAAGATCTCTAGCAGGCTTAGGCTTGTTGAGTCGCTGAATCTCAACAGCAACGGCATCTTTGCTGTCTTTGATATCCAGGAGTCGAGAATATACCGTTTGGAAAATGCTAAAGAAAACAAACATGGTCTGGTTGCAGAAAAAGTTGTACCACGGGCGAGTGAAGAAGCCGTCCGCTTTGAGCTCTCCATCAGCATCAAGGAGAGCATTATCGCTATCACCAACGACCACTGGCTTAGGAATGGTAGGCATCCATCGCTCATTCGACACCTCAGGGACAGCGGCATCGTCATTAGCATCAGCCATCTCTTCTTCATTGGCAGATCCAACTTCAGGAGTGGTCTCTTTGCTGCCAGAGGCTGCGCTGTCCTCTTTCTGATTTCGTGGTTTGCTGCCGTTTCGACCAGGGTCGAGGACCCCTCTAAGGAGATCGCCCTTCTTTCCATTGCGGCGACTACGGCCGTTGGTCAACTCAGCCGGCGTCTGGTCTTCAATCTCCTCTTCACCAGATTCAGGTTGCATCTTTGGGACTCTCTCCTGGACGATATCCTCCGAGAGATCGAAAAAGGCCGGGATGAACGTCTCGAAAAAGTCCAAGATACGCTCTTTCTCTTGGCCGCTGTGTTGACCATTATGCATGCTGTAGAGCATCATCAGACGCAAAAGGTCGAGAACAACGTCCTTATCCTTGAAATCCCAAACAAATTGGTGGCGAGGCGCCTTCCCCTTGAGGATGCGTTCGCGACGTTGCTCCTCGTGCTTAGTCTTGATGACATCCACCAGATGCTTGGCCGTCAGATTTCTCTTGTCCGTTGACTTGACGAGAATGCCCATGTGATCCAAGCTCTTGAGGTGCATGTTATGCGTTTGAGCGTGCCACACTTTTTCCCATTCTCGCTGAGAGAACCGCCACTCTTCATCCTTTTGTTTCATGCGAGCCAGAAGTACGGGGATCACATCAAAAGGATGCGTGTACATGTCATTGACAACGTCAATGCCGCGTTCGCCATAGATCTTCTTGCATATGCGCTTGAATATGGAAGTGCTTTGACCGGCGAGAGCAGATGGCATGTGGAATGCCTCTCTTTCGGACGGCGACATTGCAAGCATCTGCTGAGCAATAGGCTCAAGGAGTTGTATGCACTTCAGATTAGCTTCAATGTTAAAATCGTAATCATGGCGCTCCTCTTCGATACGGTGAAGGCCCTCTTCAAACTGATTTTTACGATGAGCGACAAATCCGGAATCCTCACTGGCCCAAGTTGGGTGCGAAGCCCACTCGTCGTTTAGAACTGAGTTGCAGAGCTCATCACGGCCACTGCAAGGCTTGAGTCGTTCCTGTAGCGAAGCATCTGTTAGCCGGCGATGAAACGAGTAAGGACGTAGCATTTATTCTTGTTACTTACCCTCTTTGGTAGGAGCCTGTAGCTTGGGCCGTAGCCGCGGCAGTTGCTCAACGAGACCTTCTCAAGTGGCGGTGCTGGCCTATTGTCGATGACCACATCTTGGGAGTCGACGCCAACAAAGGCTTTCCAAAAAGTCATCAGCTCGGGGCTTGCGCCTATGAAAAGAGCACCTTTGTGAAATAAAGTATTCTTGTCAATGATGTTCTGGCTAAAAAGATTGCAGAGTTTGAGAAATTCGTTCATCGCAGACCGATTGCTGAGGAACTTCTTGACCCTCTCAAAGAAGGCAATTTCCTCCTGATTTGATGTAGCGGGAGAGCGAGGAGGGTAGGGCTCGGGCATGACAGGCGTAAGGGTGGGTTCGATAGAACCAGCGTCTCCGCTACCTCTTGCATGGCTGAGCTTCGGTCGCTTGCTACCGTTCAGATTCTGGGGAGGAATTCGGGTCGCAACGGGAGGTTCCGGAAGAAGGGCACCAGGAGTAGGGGTCTGCTTGTCAGTGCGTGGCCTTTTCTTGGTATCTTTGCCTGCGCTGACTGGTGGCGCAAAACTCCCCAGAGGAGGCATCTTCTGTCCATCTCTCATTCCAGGCTGAGGGGTATGTGCAGATCCGGCGGCGGCGCCATCTTCTGGGCGGCCTGGCGGTGCTCTGGCTTGGCCCGCAGACTCTGGCAAGAACTGCTTAAAGTCCTCTAAGAGATCAGGTGCAGAATTGAAGAGGGTAGTCACTTGAGCATAGACGTCCTGTATCGGTTTTTGTTCTCTTTGATAAGTCTGTAGGATTTCGAGGAACTGTTTATAGATCTCAGGCTTATCCTGGAAACGATTCTATACAGGTGGTATATTAGTCGACGGTTTATATAGACGTTTATGTAGACCCCTCGGAGATATATGCTTACCTTGATCTTATTCACATAACTAATTGCGTGGTTAAACTCAACAGGGCCACGACGTTCCATATTAGCTGGATTGGCCGCACCGCCATTAGCTGCACCTGGGCCGGAAGTAGGCATTGGAGTGTGGGCATTCCTTGCATTCGGTCCACCGGGCGGGCCAGCATTTCCCTGCATTTGAGAGGGATTGCGTTGCTGATGACTTCCTGGACCATCGAAGGCGCCACCCTGGGTGGCTGCTTGAACGAACAAATTTGCGCCATTCTGAACTGGAGTACTGAAGGCAGCTTCTGGGCTCTCAATACTGTGCTGAGGTCTTTGTTGCCATTGGTTTCCACGTTCAGGGAATAAAGGCTGACCGCCAACAGCAAGTCCATGTCCTTCAGGTTGTGGTCCACGTCCAGCGATGGACTGGACTGTGGTTCCCATGGGGGTGGTGACTCGGATAGTATTCGGGTCATTACCGGCTCCGCATTCAATCCTATACCCAGGGGGCAAGAAGGTATTGAAACCCTGTATCAGATTTGGATGCCCAGCGAACAGCTCAGAAACACGGTTAATGACGCCGGGGGTATCAATCCTAGGCATATGTCAGCGTCTGAAAGTTAGAAAAATGCACATGAGTTGCATACGCCTGGCTTTTGAAATCTTTCATAATGTCGAGAAATCTGTTGTAAACGTCAGGTTGGTCGTGAAACTGCACCTTGACTTGGTCGAGATAGGTAAGAGCATCCTAAACGGTCAGAAATGTTAGCGACTGGAGCAATCGAAGCATCAAATAAAGCAGATTCAACGGCACATGAAAGTGATGATAGAAGCCCCAGAGCCTAGTATCATCGCGACAGGCTAAGATTAAACGCTCGCCACCAGCAACAAACGCTGTGACTACTTCTCGTGTCCCAGCTGGAAAATCGATAAACGCCATGGTTTGAAGTGCCACAGGGTCAACAAGGCTGGCCAGTGGAGGACCAGAGGGCAGTGTGATGGCCATTGCGGGATACTGTTGTAGCCTATCCATGCCCGCGCTCGATTTGGGCTCGCGTTCAGGCTTGTGTAACAACAGCGCAAGAAAGGAAACGGTGTATCCATGCAGTAGTTACAACGCATGCACATCTGTTTGTCGAGTGGGGATGGGTAGGCAGCAGAGGCAGAGGAGGAAAGGGAAGAAAATGGGCATTCCTCTATCCAGAAAAGATGGAGGTAAACGAGCTTGGTACTGATAAGAGAGGGGAAGAAAGATGCGAGCACCCAAGAGTGAATCAGACCTCGCAGCCGTTTGCTCTGATTGTCACTTCTCCAGCGGCCGGCTGCCACTCCAAAGGCACCCGCCGCTGAATGCAACGCCATTCACTGGACTTTGCATTCACTGCACTCAAACAGGGGAGGAAGAAAAGTAGAAACTCAAACGCATATGCAAAAGTGAAATGCAATCACTCACATTCAAAATAGGCTGCTGGCCCTGTGTGATTCCACCAGGAATCTGGTGTCCGCCAGGAGCTACGCCGACCATGGACGCATTCTGTTGGCCTCCCCGTCCTCCCTCTTGTTGGTGTTGCGGCTGCAAAGGCCCACCGAAAATACCACCGCCCGGCGCCGCCTGGGAGCCGTTGGGAGGTGGTTGTGTATGAGACATCGATGCGAACATTTGGTGTTGCCCATTGGCACCACCCGGTCCGCCGTGCTGGATCGGCCGTCCATGCTCGCCCTGCAAAGGCCCGGCAAAGTTACCCAGCGGTCCCGACGGAGCGCCGAGAGGGATGGGCGGCGCGTTGCCATTATGGTTTGCGAGCAGTCCTCCGGGACTGTGTATGGCACCGGAGATCCGCGAGGCCACCGGCTGGTGGATGGGGATTGAGCCGGCGCTGCTCTGGTGCGGTGCCGGCGGGTAACGTTCGCTATCTCGTTCTCGCTCGCGCTCTCTATCTCGTTCTTGGTCGCGGCGAGCCATTTCTTCGTGCTGTTGGATGGCGCGATGTCGTTCATCCATATCGCGCTCTCTGTCGTACGGCGCGCCACCGCCGTGGCCGTGTAGATTCTGGCTATTCATGCTGATCTGCCGATAAGGATTTTAATTAGCCAAATTCTAAACGAGAGAGCTGAAGGCGACATATGGCAAAAGAAGGCAAGAAAACTGCGTGCTCTCTCTCGGAGAACCACGTCGACAAACAACAGCTCTTTGTTAATGTTTGTCCGTCCACACCTCACAGCCGGCTCAGGAGATTGTCCGGCTAGATCTCTTTGTCGCGCGAAAGCAGAAGAGAGAAACGACTTACAGCTTATAGGCACAGCTGAGCCGATGTGCTCCTACATGGAAGCTCGAGCCCCAAGACAAGATTTGATCAAGAGAACGACACGGCGATAGCAAACAAGCAAAAAACTTTGGGGGGCACACAATTTTGTACCGGTGCAAACCTGGGTAGCTCCGAATTCAAAGGGTGACGAGATCTGACAGCCATCGCCTGGGCGTGCCGTGGAGGCTTCTTCGTCACGTGTTGATAAGCTCTCTGGAGCGGAATTGACTGCCCACGGAAGGTTTTTAGCTCTGTTTGAAGGCACGGATCATCGTTGTTCCCTTATCTCAATTCTGGCACTGCGGAATTCGGCGCCGTCGCTAGCCATGATATCATGGGGTGTGCAAATAAGCCACAAGACCACTAGAGGACCCTGGAGAGACTTGCCAGTTGATTGTTTACAGTGTTTAGTTCATGCATATGGCTAGCTCTATATTATTAATATCAATCGAAATAGTCGATTAGGAAATCAGCACATGTAGCTTTACTCTCGCTCAAGCTCCAGCGTGAAAAACCCATCTCTCTCCTCATTGTATCTCAGATACCACGCAATACTCGCCCACCAAAGTAGTTAGAAGTACTCTAGGCGTATTATTTAGAGCTACTAGACCTGCAAGGTACACCTCGGTAAGTCAATGCATCAAAGTGAAGAGAGAAAAGCTGCAGCAAGCTAGGCAGCGCCCTGGAACAACTCGAAGTAAAATCTCTCGTGCACAAACACGGCATATTGACTCGTTCTAAACCCGCAGGGCGCCAAGCGCTATCATTTCGGAACAAGGCGGACAGATCCTAAATTTATCAGCAGCAACTCAACTCTTGAGCGCCCCCGCCAGTGTAGCTGAACTTAGACTAAACTTAACCCAAAACACTTTTCCGGAAACTAAGGACCTTGATGAATCATTCCTCAACAATAACCATCGTCGTCGCACCATAGCATTTCCCCTCGTCGTCTGTTCATCTCCAGCCATGGATTTCAACAGCTCTTCTCCCTTCCCGGAGGGAGTCATCTCCTTTCTAGACACAGACTTGTATAAGCTGACGATGCAATGTGCCGTCTTCAAGTTCTTCAAGGACGTTCCTGTGACCTATGCTTTCACCAACAGAACCCCCGACAAGAAGCTCTCCAGAGCTGCTTTCAAATGGCTAGAGGAGCAAATTCGCAGTGTGTACTTTTTTTTTGTTCTCCTAAAGCGATGTTACCCAATGCTACTTTTGAGAAACTGTTGCACGTATACTGACATATTCTGGCAGAGCTCGGCAACATCTCCCTATCTGACGAAGAGTACCGATTCTTGCAGGAGCACTGCAAGTACCTAACTGCTGATTATCTCGAATTCCTCAAGGACTTCCGGCTGCGACCTCGGGAGCAGGTTTTCACGACCTTTACCCCCGTCGGAGAAGATACCGGCTCTGACTCGGACGTTGGCGACGTCCACATGGAGATCAAGGGCACTTGGTCCGACACGATTCTCTATGAGATTCCTATATTAGCGCTTACTTCTGAGGCTTACTTCCGCTTCATCGACACAGATTGGAACTATGAAGGACAGGAAGAAAGGGCTTTCGAAAAGGGTCTGCGCCTTCTCGAAGCCGGATGCACCACTTCCGAATTCGGAACCCGGAGACGCCGTGACTACCATACCCAAGCACTTGTATTTCGCGGTCTAGTCAAGGCATCAAAGGAGGCGGCTGCAAAGGGTTTCCCTGGAAAGTTGACTGGCACTAGTAATGTTCACTTGGCTATGCGCTTCGGTATCCCTCCTGTCGGTACTGTAGCCCATGAGTGGTTTATGGGAATAGCTGCCATTACCAATGACTATACCAAGGCAACCGAAGAGGCCCTGCGTCACTGGGTCAGCTCTTTCGGTCCCAACTTGACCATTGCTCTGACGGATACCTTTGGCACACAAGAGTTCCTCAGGGCTTTTAGCCTGCCCATCCGTCCGGTCGATGGCGGCTTCAGCCCTGAAGTCTTCCAGAAGGCTGATGGAAGCATGAAGACGTACGCTGAGATGTTTGCGGGAGTACGACAAGATTCCGGAGACCCGGCCGAATATGTCAAGATGCTGCGCGATTACTACGATGCGCAAGGCATCAAGGATAAGAAGGTCATTGTGTTTTCTGACTCATTGAACATCGATAGCTGTTTGGAATATCTCCAAATTTCTCAAAAGTACGACTTCCAGCCATCCTTTGGTGTCGGCACCTTCTTAACAAACGACTTTACGCACCTTACGACTGGGACCAAATCGGTGCCACTAAATATTGTCATTAAGCTCAGCTCAGCTGCTGGCCGGCCAGCTGTCAAAATCAGGTTAGTTTTATGATCCTCAGCAACGCAAGATACTCAATGTAGTTCACTGGCTAATGACTATCAAAATTCATTCATAACAGCGATAATTCTGGAAAGAACACTGGCGACAAGGAGACTGTTCAAAAAGTCAAGCAACAAATTGGCTATGTTGAGCGAGAATGGAAGGATGGCGACGAGACTGCGCGATGGGGCAGGGAGGAAGATGTGAAAGCATAAAACGCTTAACAGTAACCCAATTTACCCAACCGGATATCTGGATCGGCGGCAGGTTTGTTTTTTTGGTTACAAGGTAAGATTGAGCATGTCTTGCCAATCTCTCGGAAACGCTTTCAGCTACAGCCCATGTTCATTATATACCCTATAAAGATAGACAGAGATATGGGCCGCTTCCAACGATAATACACGCTACGCCCACCAGCTACAAGTACACCCGTGGGCGGAAATTTTAGACGTAATGTCTAGGTGCTGAATCAATTCATTGGGCTGGTCGATCATCAGAAGAAGCGACATGAGTAAACCCAGCTCAGCTACCACACCAAGAGCACTATATCAATCAAGGTTTGTACACATCAGTTCAAATTATATCATAAGGCTTGTGGCCATATTGCTTTTCTATCACAGACGCGTATTAAACCCCTCCTCCTAACGAATGGCTCGCACCATCGCAAATTTGCTATCGCCTTCATAACCGCCCAACTCCCATAGAGCATTGTGAAAATCGTTCATAGGTCCATCCCCCTTCCCTAAAACGCCATAGTAATGCCAGTAAATACAAATCGAGGTACTCAGAGAGTAAAGGATAGAGCAGAGAAAAAGAAAGGTATCAAAGCGTACAAATTCCCATCACCTCCCACGCGTAGAAAAATTTCAGAACCTTCTCGTAGAACTAAATTCTTTTTTATTTAGGTTTATCCGAGACTACCAGCTTCCCAACGTCCCCGTTGTTTTTCTCTCTTCTTGTAATTTCTTCAATTATGCTTTTCATTGCTGCTCATCCAGACAGACAACACTGCTTCATGGCGCAGGAGAAGCCTGTGTCGGCTGGGGCTTTCGGATAATCTTGATCTTGGGGCGTGCACTTGGAACAGGTGCCGAGGTCGCTGCCGCTGCTGCCGCCGGTTGACTAGCCACCGGCGGAGTAGCCGACTTACTTGGAGATTTGCTAGGCGACTTGCTAGGCGCCTTAGGCCCAGGCATTGGCGGACGATGCTTCGCAAAGATCTTGCTAGTTGTCTGAGAACCTGGAAGGCTCGAGAGACTTGAAGAAGAGCCGCCCATTGGCAAAGGCTTCCTTACTATTTCTCCAGAAGGTAGCGGCTTTCGCGCAGGCTTTAGAGCATTGATGTCCTTGGCCAATCCGAGGGCTGGCTGTTCCTTAGGAGCCGCAGAAGGTAAAGCCGTCCTGCTAGGAATAGAAGAAAGAGTTTTTGTATGACCAAGAATGACAGCAAGTCGCTTTGGATTGGATGTTTTGAGAGTGACAATGCGCCGCTTTTTCGGAAGGGCAGTGATCTTATCGAAACTTGACGACGACTGTTGTTCTACCTTGGGTCTCTTTGGTGTTGATACTTGGTCACCCTTTTCTGGCCGAGGCCGTTTGGCCAGTAACCCTGATTGAGACTCTAGCTTAACGCCAGTTTTAAGAAGCGAGCTAGTGCCATTCAAAGGCCGAGGGACACCTGGAGCCGCAACTATAGTATCTGCAGGAGGTGTTGGCTTGGAAATAGTTACAGGTCGTGCCGGCTGAGATGGCTGCGGCGCCGGCGCCGGCGGCTGCGCGACCTTTGTATTAATCTTGATGGATGATGATCTTGGCAAAGGAGGAGGTAGCTTGACCTCAGGCACAGGAGTCCGCGGTGCAGGCACTGAATTCTTCAACTTGGTCTTATAATAAGACTTAAAGTTCACCATAAGCTACTAAGAGTCAGATTACCCGTATATCAAAGTAAAGAAGGGGGAATGTATAATAACTTACTCTGTCCGAAAGCTGAACCACAGGACGCTCCACCCTCCAGCCCTTGGGCAAGTTGAGCGTAAGCACCCAGCTTCTTGCCTCCTCAAACATCATGGCCGCTAGATCAAGCAGCGATTCAATTTCAGTCCGTCCAAGGCTGGGATGGTCCAGCGCTTTGCGCATGGCGGTGCTGTAATGCCTCTCATCACCATTGTATGTCTCTTCCATCTCTTTTCTCAGAGCTTTGAGCGCAGCGTCCAGATTTTCCTTTCGAGCAAACTTTTCCTTTCTGGCAGCAACTTCCTCGGCGCTATCTTGGATAAGCAACAAAGCATCCGCTTCATCCTGAGCAGGCTCATTCTTAACGGCCTTTGAGTATTCACCGAATGCAATGGCAGCAAGCCCCCGGGCCACAGCCTGAATAAGTTTATCACGAACAAAGGGCGATCGATCGGTCATCAGAGAGTAGAACAGGAAAGTAAAAACCG